AATTAAACTCGCATATTACGAGTTTATTTCCTGATGACAAAATTAACCATGAGATTGTTAAATAAACTATAATGTTGTCGGTATTTTAATAAACAAATAAACTTATATAATATGAATTTTAATTTTAATATTATTACTATATATATATATATATATTATGCAATATCTGATTAAAAACGAAATGAGTGTCGTTAAGAAAAACCTGTCATTGGAATTTCAATTATATTTGGTACCGGATCCAATTTATGTAATTTAATATAGAATTGTATCTGATACAAAAATATAATTGAAATCCTGTTGACGGGTTTTCTTTTGATGACACTCAAATAAGATCTGACAAAAATCTATAAATAAGTTATACTTTAGACATACATGAGCAGATTTTACTCTTTCTCTCGAAAAAAAATATATCATACTTTTTTTTCAATACACGTTAGTTGATTAAAATTTTTTTTTCGTTCATACTTCATTTAATAATTATTAGTCAATTGTCATTCTATTTTAAATACTAAATATTTCACAGAAAAAAGATATATAAGTAATGTTTCTTTTGCTCTTCACTTCTTTTAATAAATAAACCGAACAAACGATATTTCAATCAAAAAACAATTTTGCAATATTTTTTTTTTTTTGCCTTTTGAAACAATCGATATCTCATTCAAACAAACTTTTTGTTCTTTTTTTTTTTGATAAAATATACAGAAAAAAATCTTATAAAATCAATATAGTGTCTAAAGTCGTTCCATTTCTCTGCCTTTTTGCAGCAACTATTGTTTAACACCAATGCCTCTACAAAGAGGTTAAAGCAGAGTTTGTTTTACGATACCACAATAATCAAATAAACACCATCGAAGCCGAAGCCGAAGCTGCAGGTCCAGATCTAGGTCCAGATCTAGGAATAGAAGGCATAAATGTCCACATCGTCATTCTAAAACTCCTGAAGAAAAAAATTCAGATAATTTTGAAAGTTATTTTTTATTTTTTATAAAGTTTTTTGATGGATTAAGCTTTTTATAAATCGATATGTCTAACAAACTTTTCTATAGAGATCAATTTTTTAAAACAAGCATTGAATTCTTTAATTAATGAAGTTAAGGATCTTAAGACACAAACGTCAAGACAAGGAACTCCAGCTGTACCTCCGGATGGAGGTAATAATACTCCTGCTATATGTTCTGACGATGTTTATAATAAGTGATACTGAAAATGCAGCTGGTACTACCGGACTTTCCTGTCCATTCAATAATGTTGGGCTTTCCGATCTTGAAGATGATACAGTTGATTCTAACGTTCAAAAAAAAAGTTAACAACAATCAACTACTACTACTACTACTATTACTACTACTCACCAAAAAGGAAAATATAAGCAAACGGATGATGGTAAACCAAATAATAATAATCGGTGAAAACCATCATTAAGCCCAGAACCACCCTCCGGGTATAAAAAAAAGGAACAAGTATTGTTGCAAGACATGGATGAAGATCAATATAAACTATTTCATGTATATAATATTATAATTTTTAACTGTCTGTTTAATGAATATCTAATTTCTGGTTTATTGATTGTCTAATATAGGATGAGGTAATCCAAATTTTAAACAGCCTTGACGATAATCTGAGCAATGACGAAACAAAAAAATGGTTGGATATATCTCGGCACGTAAACAAAAACATTATACCAGCTATTGGTAAAGGCTTAGACGGTCAGTTCAGGTACAATTTAGGTGAAATAAAGTATGTTCTACAAAGCCTTCACCGCCATCGATGTGAAAAATGGCAGATCGGGCAAGATTTAGAAAAGGCAAAGTTTGATAAAAGACATAAAGGAGTAAATACACGCCATGGCGAAGTAAGTATTTTTTTTTTTTTTTTTTTATACAATATAACTATCATTTTACTAGTATTGCTTGGAAGATTTTGATTAGTTAATTAGGTCAAAACAATCATGTGCTCCAAAAATAACTGTTTGCTGTAATTAATTTATAGAAAACAAGATGACGTGTCCAAGGGTTTAATCATATGATTAATACCAAAGATAAAAACCTCGTAGAACTTGCTCCTTCTATTAGCTGGAACGACTTTAAAGATGACCTTGAAGAAATATTAAACAAAAAAGGCTTCCACTCAGATGAAGTCTCGGAAATGGATGTTGAACGAACAGAATTCGAAAAACGAATGAAAATTCGCCCAAATTATAAAAAAAAAGATGATTATCATGTGATTCGGGTTTATGACAAATCATGGAGGTCTTGAAGGGTAAGTAATTATTATTATATTGCAATTAATTAAATTTTTATAATATTTTCTTTTATTTTTATTTTATTTTATTATAATTAGGTTAAAAAAATCCTTCGACTTGCTGATGACATGGGTGATAAAATTTCTCATGTTAAATGCTCAAGAAAGCATTGGTATTGCGACAAAAAGTGGGTGGATAAATCAAAACCACCACTTGATATTCCAGATTGGTCTATTTCGACTACTTACGTTTTGGATGAAGAGGCCGATAATGAAGAGGAAAACAATAATGCTAGTCAAAGCAGTAATCATAGTGTTATTGCAAATAGAAATGAGAGTGGTAATGGAAATGGAAATGGTGAAAATAGTGGCAGAAATAGTGGTGGAAATAGTGGTGGAAATGAAAATGATGGTGAAAATGGTGGTGAAAATGGCAATGAAAATGAAAGTGGCAGTGAAAATGGAAGTGATAATGTCAATGAAGAAAAGCTTTAAATTAGAAATAACATTTTTTTTTTTGCTATAGTAATATGTAAATATATAGCTATAATTCAATTTAAATAAATATAATAATATACAATTGCTTCTATAAAATAACGTTATATCATTTATATAAGTATAAAAAAAAATAATAATAAACTATAGCCCTGTCAAACATAACGATATGTATATTATTTAATCTCGAAATGCATCCGGTTTCCTTGCAATTCAGAGCAAAATAAAATACCAGTCAGGTTTATTAATGGGTCTACCAGCATATCGATATTGGACTTAAAAGTTTCTAATTAGTCTCCGATTTCAAACAGATATTTGGCAGAAATAGATGACCAATAGGAAATAATTAAGATTAAAATCGATATACCAGTAGGCCTTTAATATATATCGATAGGTATCTTAATTTATACTGATGAGTATCTGGTTTGCTAGCAATTTTAAGTAAAATAAGATACCAATCGAGTTAATCAATAGACCTACCGAAAAATTGATAATGTACTTGTTTTGTTCCTAAATGTCTATGATTTCAAACAGATATTTGGCGGAAATAAGATACCAATCGGAAAAATTTAGGATTGATTTAAGTTTAGTATCGATCTACCGGTAGGCCTTTAATATATTTCGATAGGTATCTTAATTTATACTGATGAGTACCCGGTTTTCTAGCAATTTCAAATAAAATAAGATACTTATCGTGTTAATCAATTGACCTACTGAAAAATCGATAATGTACTTGTATTGTTCCTAAATGTCTCCGAATGGACTATGATTTCAAACAGATATTTGGCGGAAATAAGATACCAATCGGAAAAATCTAGGATCGATTTAAGTTTAGTATCGAAAGACTGGTAGGCCTATTACTATATTTCCTGATAACTATCCAGTTTTTTAGCAATTTCGAGTAAATTAAGATACTTATCGTGTTAATCAATAGACCTACTGGCTGTTTGATTTAGAACCTAAATTTTCCCGATTGGTATCTTATTTCCGCCAAATATCTGTTTGAAATCAGATACCAATCGGAGACATTTATGATTTACCAGTCAGTAAACTTCCATATGCATATCGGATTGATATAGGATACCTATCAGTTACCCGGTTGTTACCCATTCGACCTGTGTAGAGTTGCGATTCCCTAGCTGCTACGGTAATGGTGCAGCAGACTGATCAGCACCTTGGGAAGCTGGATATATATAAAATATTTGATTTAATGATGATTAAAATAAAAGTAATAAAAGTGCGATTTAATGATGTTTACTGAGCAAAAAAATATGCAATTTTATCTTATAAAAAAAAAAACAAAATTTAAATACCGTGCTCAGCTAACAAAAACTGATCAGTTTGTTTATGGTTACCATCGTTAAATGAAAAACACTGTTTTAAAAACTGTACTCAACTATAACTTCTGTTTATTATTTACTCATTTAATTAAAGAACGCTTTTTTAAAAATAAAATTTTAAAATTGTATCAGAGTATTTTATATCAGATATTGAAAAAATATATATATTAGCGAAATCTACACATAAGTTTGTTAAGAAATTATCTTTAAACTCAATCGCTCTGCCCTATAAGAAATTTTTACACGTGATTGCACATGGCTGTACGAAATATAGCACGGAATCTGCATACACGCAAAATCGACGAACACATAATTGTACGAAATTTTTTCACGTGCACGGCATGTGCACGAAATAATAAACGGCTACATACGGGAAAGCACGTAAAAAAGCACGCTATTACGTGCACTGTTGCACAGAATTCGCGCCTTTTTACGTGTCCAGTGCACGTTTTCCTATGCACCATCCCGTGTTCTATTCCATATAGTTCTGTATACTCTTGCGCTGTCACATACCTGTGTTTGACCATAAATTCCATGCACCATTTTTATAGGGCTATAGTTTAATGTAATTCTTTTTGGACCCATATCAAAAAATAGTAAACTTTTTTCTTAAGGACGTTTACCATATTATTTTTTGTAGAAAGATAATAAGTGTTTACAAAGATAATTTATTTATAAGTTTATAAATGTCATCATGAGATCATAAGAAAAATTACTATTCATATTTTCCCATTACAATATTGCGAAGAAATAAATCGAATATCATAATTATATGGTCACCCACGCAAGAAATGAATAGTACATATTTGAGAATCATAAATTTTGAACAAAAATCATAAATAATCCTATAAATAATCCTATAAATATTCGTGAATTTCGAAACCAGTAGTATTGAAAATTTCAATTAAAATACTTTTCAATAAAGACTTATAATTCTTGATTTGTCGAATCTAATATTGATGAATCAGAAGTAAAATTTTCTTTTTCAACGACACTGAGATGATGAACTTTTATTTGAGGATATGATTCTTGACTAGTTCCACTAACTTCACTGGAGTTATACGTGATGTTTCCACCTTTACTGTCATATTTATTTGTCCAACCTTCATATGAAATATACAGGATTGCATTTCCTATTCCACCAAGATTTATAAAAATTACCGAACCAGTATAAATCCATATGTTTTCGTACTAAAAAAAAATAAAATGAAGTGTCATAAATAAAGGTGTTGCACAAATTTTATATAATATAACATAGGAGGTAGTTATCTAGCTACAAGCTAGAAAATCATAGCTCACATGACACAGAAATAATGAGCAAGTACGTACTTGAAACATTTGAGCTATTAAATAAATCGTGGTAGGAGTCCATTCTATAAGGAATATTAGAATATAGGCGATAATTTTCCTCACAACAAGTATATCAATTCGGGTAAGATGAGAATTATCGGAACCAAGTTTTTGAATAGAATTTCGTCTAAAACTCAATTCTAAAAAGGTCATAATATAACAAAATAACGTGACGAATAATATTAAAAAAATCAATGTAACAGTTATTAATGGCGTTATTTGATTAGATGGAGAATTATAACACCTATTAAGTAATATAGAATTATTTACGTTCGTTTTCACAAAGTTACAAATATAATTAATATAAACAAGACATACCAAAATTCACTCGGACCGTAGTCGTGAATTCCAATCAATGATATTGATAAAGATATTAAAGTAATAGCCAAAAAAAATTTATAGTCATATTTTCCCAAATTAAAAACGTATCTTCTACATACTCTAAGGTAAGTTATTAAAGATAATGAACCAACTAAGGTCACATTTGATGTTACAATGAAAGCTACTATTCCGCCAACTACTTTACATGCATCTCCTTGAATTGAATGACCATTAAGAGCCGAGTATCCCTTATGTACCAAAAATAAGTTAATACTAGATTATACATACCGGTATAGGATTTTTATGATTAATTGAAATGATACATACCACATTCACTAGATTGATCCAAAATAATAAAAATTCTAATTTATTTTGGTAATAAAAAAAATTTAAAAATTAGATAGTCTAAGCTACACGAATATATTTATCATATTTAAATGTAGACGTACCACTCGATGCTATATAAAACGGCACCCTGTGAGCCATCGACAATGATCTCTTAGTCATCCACCATCGCATCAACAACCTCGCAAGAAGGTAAACCAGGCAAAAGGCATTCACAAACCCAGAAATTAAACCAGACGGTACAACAATCTTAAATTCAGGAAGTGTTCTGATGTCCGTAATATTTGATCCAGAGCTCATTGTGAAATTAAAAATAATTAAAGAAAGACAGGTATAGAGAAATAATTTGTAAATTCTTAAAAAAAACAAATATGCTACATATATAGTGAATTTATACTTTAATCGGGAAACTTCAAGGTTAAAACTCAAGGCATTTAATCCTACTAGATGCTTCGGACAGTTTATGAAATTAAGCACAAAATTCAATATACGGACACAAAATTAATTAATCGTTTAAAAATTAAACCCTAAAAAATTTTTTTTGGCCCACTGATCTTAATAAACTACGTTAACCACTATCTAACCTATGTTTTATGTCACTACACTGAGTCAAAATAGGTAATTAACATATAGCAACATATATATATATTAAATTCAATTAAATTGACTCTTTCAGTAACCAAGATCTTTTTCAATTTTTTGTTTTTAGGGGTATCTTATTAACGATAGATACAATTAACATATATATATGGAACTAGAATTTTAAGATCGATACAATTAATATATATATGGAGCTAGAATTTTAAATACTGTATATCGATATTCATTCTGTTAGTATTAATGCAATCTAGCTGATCTCGTTCAAATTTGAATAGTTGTCCGAAAAAAATTACCTATTTTGATTGGTTGTTAATAATTAATTTTTATTTGTGATCTACAAAAATTAGAGTTCGAACTAGGTTATATGCATCATCATTGTCATATATATATATTTAGCAAAAAAAAAACATAATAACGATTGGTTATTATGCTTACATATTAAATTTGATAAATCCAACCGAGTATTACATAATGGTAGATACTAAGCTCACTCGTAATCGAAAAATGTTACACAATTATAGTGGTTAAAAAATAAGTCAATGTAAATAATTTTGATCAAATTTATAATGTAAAATGTGAATTTAAAACCATAATTCTTCAGAGTAGTTTTGTTAAAATATTGCAAAGTGGAAGAGTAAAAATCGAAAATAAAACCATATTAGTACACTGATCATTTTGGGAACACATACAAAATATTTTCTAAGTTTTGCACTCATATAAAAAAGGAATAGTATGAAGTGCTATCGCTATTGGTCCAAATTTCTGATTATCATAACGCATAAGGAATTTCTAATGCAGATTAAAATAAAAAAAACTTTAGACTTAGCGGTGATCATTGAAGAAAAAATTTCAATTAAATTTTCCGCCATTAGGGGGTTTCAAAGTTAACAAATAAGTGACGCATTTCGAAAATAAATAGGATTTTTTCAATAGTATTTTTATTATGTTGAATTATAAATCGGAAAAATAAAATGAGATTCTCTGATTTTAACTTTGAAACTCCCTATTATAAGAAATTGATGTTATTCAGAGATTCTTTCCAAATTCATTTGTGCCGTTACATTTTGATTTGTTATTTTGTACCTTCATGAGTTGCCATATTGCCCATGTTAACCAAAAAGGTAATTGGGTAATTCTCGGTCAAAACATCATATATATTATTATCTTGAGTGCTATGTGCGTAACGTTCATTACGTTACGTAACGTTTATTACCTGTTACGTTACGTAACGCACATATCGTATATTATGTTACGATTTAGATCTGATACAGCATCTCAAAATTACTGTATTTCATCAGACACAGATTGTATTTATAACCAAATTAAGGTTTGGTATTTAGATTTGATTCTTGGCATTTATTTGCTGCTTATTAAAATGTTTAACATTTGAAAACAAATATGCATGTTTATAAATTTCGAGTGGTTCCAAATTATTTTTTAAATTTATTTTACGGATTTCTGAATTTCTGGGTTTTTTTCCTAACAATGATGCATTACCAACCAAAATTGTGAGTTGCAATTAGAGATTGACGATCAGAAATTGTGCGATTAGAATTTGGCAACTTAAAAACAAAGCTATGTAACTATTTGTTCATCCAAAATTTGAATTACTATATATCCCTGGATGATAAAAAATAGTGAACTAGTTGCCTTTTAAACAGTAATTAAGATTTGCTTATGTGGGCTAGGTGCTGCAAAAAGGGGGGTAAATCGACAAAATTTCAAACTAGTTTTTTTTTGCACAAATCAATTAAAATAAGGTTAGAATCATTTTTCACTATAACATAAAAATTGATTTTCCGAAGATCTTTTGTTTTGTCGATTTACCCAGGACCCCGGATAATTCTAAGGTAGGTGGTAGGGCAAAAGTGACCGGGGTAAATCGCCACCCAAAAAAGTTTCGAAAATCATGTGGTATTGTCAATTCATCATGATTAAGATCATGATAATAATATTTAATAAAGTATTAATTGATTTAGTATTTTGTTTTTTTCGATTCTTCAAAATGTAAAATGATCGTTGTAATCTTCTAAAAACATAAAATCCAATAACACAATAATCTAAAAATACACATTGTTTGCCATAACCAAATTTCCACTAATGATAAATGAAAAAAGAAATAAAATTATTAAAACTAATCAGGCAAATGCAATTACACAAGAAAATCTTATAAATGTTATTTTGAATGCTCTTCCAGAAGACTATACCTCTTTGAGCAAAAAAGTTTTATAATTCTGAATTCAGAAGAAAACATGATTAATCCAAATAATAACAAATAGATCGATAATAAAAATTTTTAGCTATTGCATAAATTGGAAGAGGATTATAATCATTTTAAAAGGCAATGGAATATTCCAAATACTTGGAAAAATCGTAATACGTAATAATACTTTCTGACTGTAACAAATATTACATTTATTGAGTTTGTTTGAAATAATAAAATGATAATTTATTGCTTATTGTTATTATTTTTAGTCTATAAGTTTTTTGTTTGTTCAAGTTAAATGCTCGATGTATTTGTCACGTGATGAGCGAACCTTTTTTGGGTGGCTCAGTCGGCAATTTTGGGCCAAACTGTCTAAATTCTGGTCAAAATTAAAATTAAAATTTAATTTTGACCAGAATTTAGACAAGTTTGGCCCAAAAAAATCTACCCACTTTTGCCCTACCACCTACCTTAGAATTATCCGGTTCTATTTACCCCATTTTTGTAGCACCAAGCCCATATTATTAATCATTAAAACTCATTCACTTATTTTCTTATATTTAAAACAAGATCAGAAAACTAATATTCTTTAAACGACTTTCGTTTACTAAAATTTAAAAGCCTGTTCTCTTATGGTGTATATATCACAAATTTGTTCAACAATAATTGTCAGTAGTATTATGTACGGTTTTATGATGATTAGGCGATTTCCGTCCACAAATCTTGAAAAATCATGTACCAATAATTGAGGGCACAGTCTATGTTTTCTAACCTTTATCGATCTGGTGTAACTCTATCGCTATGCAATATTAATTTTGTAATTTGTTTTCACTCGTATTTTAATATTTCATTTATATTATATAGATAGTACGGGTAAAATATTTCTGTAAATGGATTGGATTCAAACTTTTAAAAAAATATGATAGTTTCTTTTTTTTTGTATTGCGAGAGTTTAATACATAGTTCACTATTAGTTAATTGGTGTTGTTTGTTGTTGTTCCTTAACAGTTGTTATAAAAAAAATTTACTTAATAATAGATTGATTTGCTTAAGAATTAAACTTACTGAGATTGCTAATAAGTATTGTGACACTCAATTATATATCAAGATGAGGAGTGTTCGAATAGTTTTATCAATTCTAGAATAATAGTGTTGATAACAAAGATCAATAAAAAGACAAAAATGCTTAAGAAATAAATCTACTTACTTCTAGTAATTATAAAGTTTTGATGTTAAGTGTCAAAGCAAGATAGTTTGGACAAAAAAATTCCGTTAACCAGTATTATAAACTTAAAAAAATTTTTTGTTAACGTAATAAATACGCTGATCATACCTATTCGGCATATAAAAAAAAGCTTTATCATTGTCTAATGACAAACCTGAAACCGCACATGTCATACCTTATTAGTATCCAGAAATTGTGTACCAGGTTACTAAATGGTTCGATCTATTAATTCGTCATGTTTAAAGCTGTGCCTGTCTGAAACTACTATCCATTTTGTCTATTCTAAATGCAACTTTTTGCACAAATACCATCAAGTGAGTTTTCATCTTTGGTAGCAAAATTGTTCATTCGAATTACAACATTTTGCAGATTTTAAATACTATTTGAGTGTCTTTTTTTATGTTTATGTTATTTTTGAAATTGTCACCTTTTGCAAATATGCAAATATTAAACACTATTCAATCTTTTTTTTTATCTTTTGTTATGTATATGCCATTTTGATAGCCGATCTAAGTTTATTTTGTCCATTCGAATTGCCACTTTTATTGATCTCATTTACTATTCAAATGTCTCTTTTTGATTCCAAATTCATTTTGTCTACTTGAATTGCTACCTTTTTTGCAGATTTAAATACTACTTGAATGCTTCTATTAATATGAAATAAAGATCACTAACTTTTTTCAGATACTTACAGCTATAGTTAATAGAAATCAAGAGGAGTTAACTATTTACAAAGCCTTAAATTTAGCATTAGAAGTGACAAATTCAGTAGCAACTGCAATATCTAAAATATCAATATAGAAAAATACTAGTTTAATAAAATAAACACAACTTAAATTTGTATCAAATATATAGATTATATACAAGAAGTAATAATATATCATATAAGCAAAAAAATTTAAAATTTTATTATAGAATATTTATAGCTTAATACGTTGACATTTGACATAAAATAGTATACAAAATATTTTACCTACAAATAAATAGAGTTTGTAGAAATCAGAAATTAAAAACTACAAAGAATTAAAAACAATAATAAATTAAAAATTTTTAAAAATTAAAAATAATAAGAAATTAAAAACAATAAGAAATTAAAACAATAAGAAATAGAGATGTGGCGACATAGTGAAGTGGTAGAGTTGTTACCCCAAACAGCAGGTTTAGAGTTTAAATTCCAGAAATGATGATATTGAATAATAAATCTGTGTCTAGTAACAATTGTCTGTTAATCAGTTGTTTAGTATATCATCTAGAATAGAAGCTTTGGCA